CAATTGTAAATCTCACTACGTCTAGGCAATTTACAAATGCTGCTTGAGATTGGCTTATTCAACAGACATACAAAAATCAAAATTGCATCAAATCTGGGTTGTCCCAATTCCTATTTCTACAACAAAAGACGAAATATGTTGCTCTAATAGCTATATTTATCATTTTCTTGTTTATGAAAAGTTGCTGCTTTTTTGCTATGCCTATGTCATTCATCATGCCTAAGAACGTAGAGCATTCATCTGAGAAAACGCCAAGGGAGCTCATGGAGAGATTTACAAATTTCACACATCTGAAAGTTCTACTCATTTCATTAATCAAATTCCGATATTTTTTTCTTTTTTACGTTCTACATTGTTGTACAAGTTAGATTCGAAACCAACTGTTAATTCTAGAACACATAGGCACTTGGACTGGGTTAGGAAAAGAAGATCTGGGCGATAATTTTCACTAGTTATTATTGAGGGATTTAGAAAACCAGTAACATCTGCATAGATCGAGGAGCTTACATTACTTACAAGTTGAAGGGACTTGGCAATGAAGTTAAGGATTGAGTCGTGTCCCCAGGTAAAGCGATCAAGGCATTGTTGACAACCAGCGACAACATGAAGGAGTGACTCAGGATTAAGGCAAAAGGAAGAATCAGGACTTTGTGATAATCCCCATCTTACCAAATTCTTACGTGTAGGAAGAGAGTTGTTGATGTAGCGGATGGTAAAGTTGTAAATGTTCTTCGGTAGATGGGACTGGGCCACTGACCAAATAGATTTAACAGATGACAATAAATACTTCATAACATTTGAGAAGAAGAAACCTTGAGATGTTAGGTGGTGTTGCAATTTATCCTCTTGATTAGAACGGAAATCCATAAGAACTTCCTTAGTGGATTTGTACACATCATATTGAATATTAGTGTGACAGCTTGACGATTTCCAGAGAGCTTTCAAGGAATCATTTGGGGACTCTTTTAATGAATTTCGGAGAACTGACTGGCACTGAGTAAATTTGATAGAGGGAGGACAAATATTAAGACCAAATTTATTGCTTTCTAGGAAAACATTGCTCAGTGTTCCAGATATCGGAATATCAAGCCATTTTCGGATGTAGCCATTCACTACAGAGTCGAGATGTTGCGTTATCCAGGTTTTGGATATATTTGCTATGGTGAAATGCCATGACAACTTCGATAGGACATAGCGGCTGTACAGAAGAAGTTTGTGTTTAGGATGCAGTGGCTTTATATCGATGTCATTCATCAAGATTTGTACAAGAGAAGACAATTCAGATTTGTGTTAATAATAATAATAATAATAATAATAATAATAACAATAAAGAGTATTTGTATAGTGCACAACTCCAAAAAATTTCCCGTGGCGCTTTACAACAAATAAAATCAAATTATAAACAAACTACATTTACTAACATTCACTAACAAACATTTTAAAAAGATAAGTTTTCAAAACGCTTACCTTTCATTGGCATGACATTGCCATGACAGCCTTAATCTTAATATAGCAGTAGGACCATTCACGTTACTGTTAATCCCTCAAGATCTACTGCGAAACGTTCATTTAAAGCTGCAACGGCTCAAGTAATTTTCCTCTGTTTTACGAATATATATATATATATATATGAATAAAGGCTGATAGTTTCGAAAGAAACTGTTTGGGGCTGCGTCGGTGGGAGTAACGAAATAATTTGGATATATCAACAAAGTTGAAATGGTAAATTGGCCACCGTAATGATTACAAAAGCTGACGTTTCGAGCGTTAGCCCTTCGTCGGAGCGAAGTTGATATATCCAAATTATATATATATATATGTTAGACGTTTTGTTGTGTAGTATCGCTGAGAATTTTCCCGAGTTGCGCCGTATTTAAACAAATAACGAGTAAAAATACTCAGCGATACTACACAACAAAACGTCTAAAAGTTATTTACTATCCAACACGCCAAATTGTTTACATTTCAATGCGGGCGAATTTTGCGGATATTTATTTACGGTGCGTGACAGAAGTATGTAAAGCGGAACGGAATTGGCGCGTTGTCGCGTTGCTGTTTCTATTTTCTTCAATAAATGAAGAAATTTCCTGATCGTCTTGTGTTTTTCTTCGTTCGATTCATCTAAAAAACTTGAATCTATATTTGCCAGCCATTCTGGCTCTTCTTCGTGAGAAATATGATTCAAATTGTCCGCCATTTTTTTTTGTTAACTCCAACTTCTTGGTCTTCATTTTCCAACACAACAGTGGTAACAAGGGCCAAAGATTGACCTCCTCATGTAAAATATACCATTTTCTCTTTCTTTGTTCCTCCTTCACTTACATTTGCAGGTGACGGATGTCACAAGCAAGAATGTGTTGTTCTAGAGATAGTTGGAGTCTGACTCTGTCACACCTTTTACGTTACATAGCATGTTTTAATCCTCTTTGAAGTAGGTGATGAGGTTTGGCTCCCCGGGTTGCAATTGGGTGATTGCATTAAAATGACATGGTGAGCGTGAGTGGCAAGTAGAGCCTGGGGGTGAGCCAATCCACTAGAAAGATAGAACCAGTCATCGCTCGGCTCTCTCGGCTAGCCGACATTCATCTTTAGATAGATAGATAGTTTATTACCAAATAAAATACATAGCAGCCATTACGTGCTTTTCACAATCATTGATTACATAAGACTATATATAGTCCGGAAGCCAGGACCCTAATAAAAGGGTTTCGTACAATGACCGGGTCAGAAAATGTTTGATAGTGGATTTTGATAGAACAAGACCTGCTTATCAATGTCAGCTAGTTAGTAGAGTTGAATTACGGTATAGGTTACGAGTTAAGCGGCTATTTTAATAGGTCACCTGTTTAAATTCATGGAAACGAGGTTAAGATACAAGACCACTGATAATGCGTAAATTAAACGTTTATTTTGACATGAATCTACAAATATCATTACACCTTTGTAGAACGAATCTTAGCCATGTTCAGATTGCTCAAATTTAGGTCACGTGACCGAACACGTCTCAGCTGCAAGGTCAAAAATGATGTTTTAGAGCTTTTACTAACCTATTTTAACGTCTTCACTACCATGTGTTAATTATTCACAGATAAACTGATGTTTTATACGTACTTTTAGTGCAGTACACAATTTGACACAAATTCTAGCTTATTCAAACTGAAACAATAAAAAATGGTAATTTTTCTTCCATTTCTGGGTCAACATGAAAACGAGGCTCATTCCGGTAGCTTCTGTTTACAGCGTTATTTGCAATTGTTTATCAAGGGAAACCTATAACATCCTTGCTTCTTAACAAATAATTTCCCAGTCATGCACAAAGTTTGCAAAGCAAGGTCACGTGACCGATCACGTGACCTCAGACAGGCCAAAAAGTTATATTTCAGTATTAGAAAATGCCTGTTACATGAACAATAGTTGTTGCCTGCTTCCTTAAAGGATAAGACTGTTATTTATTGTAATTTACGGCTAAATGACTTGATTCTCCATTTTTTCAGGTCTTTTACACCATTAATTTGTAGCTTAAAGCAGGGACCGATCTTTTTAAGGTATCTACTGCATATTATACTTTCATCTCGCTTTTCAGTTAAATAATAGATTTTGTGGTTAGAAATTGCGGGTGTTCTGTGATGCGTTAGCTCATTTTTGCAAGTATCATAGTTACTTTTGTGGGAAAATGAAATGAGGCTGTAACCTCTTTTTCACGAATCTTCAAAACGAGGCTACACCATCCATCATGGCTGCCTCCATGGCTGAAGCAGTGCAATCTCTGTAAGTACGTTTATAGAATAGCTGTATCTTATTTACTCAAACTAATACTTTTATAAAACAAAAAAAAACAACAACAACAATCGACC